AAAAAAAAAAAAAAAAAAGGCAGGATTGGTTTATCGCTTAAACTCTGAGAGGGTGCCACCATTCTATTTTTTAGCTTCAGTTCAACATACCAATAAAACCAGAGCCCTGCCATCCAGATAGGTGTTTAAAATACAACTTGAGTCAAAGGGTTACATGCACAGTAAGTATATAAAAATGGCTAACAAGAAAACATAGGGAGCATTTCCTAGGTGCTTAGTGTGGTTACATCTGAGTTCTTTGCTCTATGGGAAGCACAACCCAGACATTAGGAATACAGCCTCTCTGTGAGGCTTGAGTGAAGCTTGAGTGAAGCTTGAGTTCCAGCCGATGAGACTCCACGCTGAGCCTGGCGTGGCTCCTCCATCTTCCTTAACCAGCACAAGGATGGGGGTCTCTGTTCTTCCTCTCCATCTAGTGTGGGGATCAGAGAGTCCAATGTCTGACCTGATAGTACCTCTGCTAGCACATGATATACAGCTGAGGACGTGGGGCTCTGGAATATTATAACTAAATGGTTCAGACACCCACATAGCAATCTGACCTGTGCACAGTTGGAAGAAAAATGGACCGGAGACTCAGAGTATAAGCATTTGGGGTCACTCCAAACCCAAAGAGATTTTGACATCTGTTCAAAGGAGCCTCAGGAACTTGGTAAAGGGCACTCAAGGGCCTCTGTGAGTCAAAGCAAAGAGGAAAAAGCCCACCCAAACTTTCCCACAGTACGTTAGCGTTCCGTCCAAGTGCAGGGGCATCATATGACTGGGACATGGTGACTGCCAGCTGTCAAACACTGAGCAGGCCACTTCCTGCATCACCACTGCTTTTTTTAAATTCCCTCTTAAGGTCTTTAAGAGCAAACCACAGTTATTCTCATTTCCCAGAAGCCTCCACTGCTTATAGTGTAAGCACAGTTCCCCATAGAGAGGGTGGACTGGTATTTCAAACATGAAACACCAAAATGTGGATTAATAATTTACTAATGACTCTAAACAAATACTGTCCACAGTGGGGAAAACCACCCCCACTTTGGAACAAGAAGTCAGTCCAATTACCTCCACATTCTAGGAGGTAAACTGCTGCAAAATAGCTCCTCATACCTTCTCAGAACTCAATATTATTAATGCTGGGTTTTTTGGGCTTCTTTTTTTTTTTTTGAGAATTAATCATTCCCAGCTTCAGCCCTCTGTTTCAGCAGAGCTCATGGCATTCTGCATGGGGAGTTCTGCTCTCTCTGCCCAGATAAATTAATACATATTCCAAAGTCTGGGGCCACGATCAATGAAAACCACAGCGAATTCCTAAGCAGTAATAGATATTCCACGTGGCTTAAAATGCTCAGAGGAGAATTTTCTTAAGGGTAAGAATCAAAGTGCTGTAATTGAAGATCTTAAAAGTCAAAGCAGGCAGGCTTTCTGGGGTACCTAATGTTCAAGTCAAGGATCATTTAAGGTAAATGGCTCCACGTCCTTCCTCCCTTGCTATCGGATTCTAGGTCCGAGACTAGCACCAACTTAGTGTTAGGTCCGTGCTCTCAAGTTAAGCAGACAGTGCAGTGCAAAAGGTAGCAGAGGGGCATACAGAACAATTACTTTAAAAAGTAAACACTCTCAAAGAGTCCTGAGGCCTGCTGCCAGCCCTCTGCCTAAACCAGCCCGCAGACACATGGTGCAAGGAAGAAATGAAAATATATTTGCCCTCAAACTTGCAATTCTCTCACCTCGGGCTCCCCAGCACTGGGATTAGAGGTAGCCGTAGGGAGACTGCCCTGTTAGTCACAATTACCTTTCCTTTCAAACCTCTGACTAAGATGAAAGAATGGACATCTCTGAGCTCAGGGGAAGCACTCCTAGGTGGAGTTTGAGGTCGGAAGATGGGTGCTTGGGAACCACAAAACTGCATGGAATTTGGAGATGAGAAGTCAGTGAAGTGGTGCATGCAAGAGAAAGGACAGGCTTGCACTTCCTAGATGGTAGCATGACTGTCACGGGTCCATTTCATTGTTGACATCAGCTCCAAGTTGTTTCTTTTGTTTGTTTGAGGTACTTTAACCGAAGGCCTTGTACATGCTAGACAAACATGCCACCATCAAGTTACAACCCCAACTGTCTTTTACATTTAAAAAAATACTTTGTGTGTGTGTGTGTGTGTGTGTGTGTGTGTGTGTGTGTGTGAAGAGAGAGAGAGAGAGAGAGAGAGGGGGGGGGAGAGAGAGGGAGAGAAAGAGAGAGAGCACTCATGGGTTTATGTTAGTACCCTCAGAGGCCAGAAGGTGGCATTGGATCCCCTGCAGCTGGAGCTAAGGTGGTGGCAAGCCACCCAGCATGGGTGCTGAGATCAGAACTCAGGTCCTCTGTAAAAGCAAAATGAGCTTTCAACAGCTAAACCATTTGTCCAGTCCCCTCCTTTTACCTTTATTTTGAGACAAAGTCTCATAAAGTTATGATATTAGGCCCAGAACTTGGGATCTTCCTGCCACAGCATTTCAGGTACCCAGATGACAGGTTTGTGCCACCGTGTCCAGCTCCAAACTGTGTCTTAATACAAAGTTATGTAGAGGTACCACTTTCCTAGCTCAAAAACAGTGAGCTCAAGAGAAATGAGTCCAGATTATCAATCCTGCCTATCCCTTCCGAAATCTAAACTCTATTTAGGTTAGTTACTAGCACATTTGTACAAGGTGCCAGTGGCAGCTCTGTGTACAAAGCTACACCCGAAAGCCAGTTTCACTTATTCGAGATCTGCCTTAGATTGCTTTTCTCTTTATATCTAGGCATTCTCACTCCTGCAATCCTATAATTTCTCGGTTTGATCTCGCTGCTTACAGCTCTCTTTTATTATTGCAGGGTAGGGGTGATGTTCAAAAGACATGACAGGAAACAGAAAGGCCTCATTTTAAAATAAGGATAAGGTAAGGCTAATTCAAGCAGAATGCAGCCCAAAGCTCTCCTTTGTTAGCCTGGGATGTAGACACTAGATAAGAACTGACACACACATAGAAATTAAGCCAAAAGCAAAAGCTACCCTGCAATTTTGCAGAGCATTTGCCTTCACCCTTTTATCTTTTGGGGCCTTCAAACCTATAGTAGAGAGCTTACCTAGCATACACAAAGCTCTGGGTTCTCGCCCCGAGTACCATATAATCTGAGTGTGGTGGTGCATGCATGTGATCCCAGGACCTTGGCGGTTGGTGACAGAAGGATCATCAATTCAAGGTCATCCTTGGCCATATAGAATGATTCAGGCCAGACTGGACACTTTAGATTCTTTTTGAAAACAAAACAAAAACTGCAAGTTGAAGCAGATGAAGTAGACAGACAGCTCTTCTGATTGGCCCAAAGAGGTTAAATCAGCTTGCAAAGACCCAGGCAAAGTGGATTCAAAGTCTTTTAGCTACTGCCACACCTTTGTAAGATAAAAGTGTATGACCAGATTAGTATGTCCAACAGTGCATCCAGTTAAATGGAAATAAATTATAGGCTTTCCAGGTGGGCGGTGGTGGCGCACGCCTTTAGTCCTAGCACTCAGGAGGCAGAGGCAGGTGGATCTCTGTGAGTTTGAGACCAGCCTGGTCTACAAGAGCTAGTTCCAGGACAGCCTCCAAAGCCACAGAGAAAAACCCTGTCTTGAAAAAACAAAATAAATAAATAAATTATAGGCTTTCCATAGCACTTACAAAAAAAATTTTTTACTATCTCAAAATTATTAGTAAACCCAGATCATAAGTTGATTTAGAGAAGAAAGCATAAGCCCAGGAGCCCAGGACTTCCAGTTTGTGTTGGCCACAGGAGGACACATGCATGCTGATGCAACACAGATTAACCTGAAGAGCAGCAGCCGTTTTATGACAAGTCAGAGCATCCTCCAATAAATCTGCATAAGGGTCACTGGCCAGTCTAATGCCCATTCCACAGACACCACATCCCAGGCTTACGTTGGGTCTTACGTAGGTGACTCTATTGTATAAAGAAGCTTAACCATTCTCATCTTCCCATCACCCTCAGAAAGAGGTGAGGAGGTAAATTTGGCGGGTTATGAGCTCTGAGTTGAACTTTCCTTTCTCTGAGGCGTTGGAGGGTCTACCGTCTGTGGTGGCCTTACAGGGAACTTTCACAAGCACAACCTGACAATCCACCAAGTCATGCCACTTGTTTGAAAATTCTGAGATCTCCTGCTCCAATTCCATGTGCTGCTTTTCAAGTTTCTGCTTTAACTATGCTACCTCATTGCTACTACTTCCCACATAATCCACGACCTTGCCAATGTCCTACACCACTGTGAAAGTGTCTCCTAACCACCTCAGCCAGCCCAACCTGTCGGGGAAGGGGCTGTCTTTGCCCTGGGCAAACTGATTTCCACTTTCTTCTAGTTCTCTCCTCCTACCTTGCTTTCAGCTTCTAGGTCCCCTCCCAGCTCTTATGTTTACACTGGAAAGAGTAATTTCAGTAAATTCTTATTAAGTTTCTACAGTTAGGTAAACACTTTGGAATCAGTGAACCCTCCTAGACATGTTCCCCAGTAAGAGGGAAGCCTGTGACAGGCCAGCAACTTCCTGACTGAATAGACCAATTATCCTCATCAGGAAACTCTGTGGTGGAGGATATATTAAAAAAAAAAAAAAAAAAAAAAAAAAAGGAGGGGGGAGGGGGGGGGGGGGGGTTGGAGAGATGGCTCAGGCAGTTAAGTGTAGGCTGCTCTTGCAGAGGACCTGAATTCAGTTCCCAGCATCCAACCACCAGAGACACCAGCTCCAAGGGAGCTGGCCTCTGTAGGCACCTGGACACACACACACACACACACACACACACACACTTCATTCTCAAATTCTTGTGTTCTTATAAGAAATTAGTATTTTTTTTTTAGTTGGGATTACATTCAATAATTCCCAAATATCTCTTATTTCCATAATTCCTTACCCTTTTCTGCCCTCGATAAACATGTGAATAAGCAAAACTTCACTGGAAGTCAACCATAGGTCCACTGTCAAGTGAAGAACACATACCTTCAGAGCCAGCAGCCATGTATGCATGAGTTCACGTGACAGGAATAGAAGTTCAGGTATTTGGTCATAGCTGGTTGACATCCAAGATAAGTGTGGGGCCAGGCTGGAGATGGTCACCCTTATTTCCCCACCACATCATAAACATCATGGCGAGTCAGGAGGATCTCTGTGAGTTCGAGGCCAGCCTGGTCTACAAACACAGAGAAACCCTGTTTGGGGGAAGAAAAAAGACTGACACCTGCCATGATTCTTGATTTTTACCAATATCCTTGCATTTCAAGATCCAACCCCCATCCTCAGCCAAATAAAAACTATCCTATACACAAAGCAACTGATGCTGAGGACTGTATTCTAGCAGGGATCTCTGTGTGTGTGGTACATGCCTGTGAGCATGCACTCATGCAGAAGTCAGAGTAGAGCGATGGGGGTCTTCCTCTCTAGCTCTTCCGACATGTTGCTTTGAGGAAGGGTCTCTCACTGAACCTAAAGTTCACTGTGTAAGCCAGGTTAGCTGGCCAGTGAATTCGCAGGAGCTGCCTGTCTCTGTGCCCTCAATTTGTAGTTACAGGTACCTGTGCTTGCCTTTTTATGTGGGTGCCTGGGATTTGAACTCAGGTCCTTATGCTTATAGAACAAGTCTTCTTATCCACTGAGCCATCTCCCCAGCCTTGGGATCTTGTGGGTTTTTTTTTTTTTGGGCGGGGGTGGTTTTGAGTCAGGGTTTCTCTGTGACTTTGGAGCCTGTCCTGGAACTAGCTCTATAGACCAAGCTGGTCTCGAACTCACAGAGATCTGCCTGCCTCTGCCTCCCGAGTGCTGGGATTAAAGGCATGTGTCACCACCACCCGGTAGGATCTTGTTGTATACCTGGGGTTTTTCTTAATTCCACATCTAATTAATTCGTTAACTCAACAAACAGAGCAACTGTGTCAGTATGCCAGCTCCTAGGGAAAAGATGGTAAAGAGCTGCTTCCCTATGACCACAGGAGCAGAGACCTGACATGTCCATGGCATGCTTCCTCTTGGTTCTCAATCATTATTATGACTGACAGCATAGCCTCATATTAGAGGACTATGGAGTGAAAGTCTGGGTTCACATCAACAAAATCGCATCCTTCAAAGCCTCTGCATTTCAGATGCCTCCGGAAGTGCAAACAGAAAAACGCTACTGAATGGCTCATTTTTTCCACCGTGGTAACAGCATTCTTCCCACTGGTGACAATGTCTGCTGGCTCAAAGTGGGATCAGAGAGCAGTAATGAAACTGTCACTGGTGTCACCTTAATACTGTCCACAGTCTAGCTTGCTGTGGAAGTCACTTGGCAAATGCTTCAGCAGCCCCTTCCAATCACACAGGCAGGAATCTGGTTCAAACCAGTAGAGAAGGCTAGTTTTATAATTTTGTTAGTAGAATGCTTGCCCAGTGTGGTGATATGTTAGTCATGATTTATTAAAGCTTGCCTGAGGATTCAAGAAGCAAAGTCAGCCACAAGCAATAGAAGCCAGGCACACACACATCTTCAATTCCAGCAGCCAGAAGTTGGGAAATGGTGGTACACACCTTTAATCCTAGGACTCAAGATTAAGTGGTAGACGGATCTGAGTTCACTGTCACCCAAAGATACACCAGATCGAATCAGTCTAAAAGAGTAACAGATCACACACCTTTAATGCCAGCACTAGAAGGGTATAAAAGATAGAAGCAGGGTCTTCGGTATTCAGTAGGAGGCGTTCATTCTCCAGCCATGCTGAGGAGAAGTTACAATCTAAGGCTTGGTGAGAGCTTGTGGAGACAGGATCAACCCATTTCATCCTGAGGTAGAGGTAAGGATTAGTGACAGCTGCTTTGCTTGCTACTAGCTTTCTCCTGCCCTGTACAGGTCAGCACCCTCTGCCTAGGAGATTCAAGGTTGTAGCATAGCAAGCTGACTGTTAAAACTAACAACACCCAATCAAACTATAAATGAGAAAAACAAAGACACTCTGGTGACACGTAAGACTACTGAAAAAAAATTTTTTCTCATCTCTTGTTTAGTCTACAACTTTCATGATAAATAAACAAAGTATAAATTATATGCTAAAATAAAATAAAATGTACGCTAAAAAGAATAAGCTTTGATACAGGTTGGTAGATGTGTGATTTTTTTTCCCAGTAAAAAGGTGGACTATCCTCAAAGAATTCGTTAAAATTACTCGAAGCCACACTCAGACACTTCACTGGCAAGCACACACAGGGACCTGCCAGACACTGTCAGAATTCGAGATTTGAGGGGTTTTGAAAGCAGCTGGTGACTGCATCAGGATAGCATGGTTTTTACATCAAAAAATCTGTGTTGAATATAAAGAACAATAAAAACTGGACTTGGTCCTACATCAAGGGCGGCTTTGCACCTTCGTCTCCTGCATTTGCCACACGATGCTCATGGCTGGAAAAACAAAAGAGACCTGGCTGGGCTATCCTCAGATCTCTTTGAAGTCCAACACCTGCTTTTTCTAGTTACTCAGAGTCTAGGGTGGACTCACTTTAAAAGCACATTGGCTCTTGTGCCCCCCTCCCCGCCCCCACCAGACTGGCCACTATTAGACAGCTAAGCCTTTATTGCCAATTCTATTTGGTATGAAGGATTAGGTGGACACTTTGAGGCCAATTCCCCTGAGGATGATGGGAAAGGACCTAATGTATGTGGAGGAAGGTTAGTGTGACACAGTTCAGACACCGTGCTGGTTGCCTCGAGGAAGCTTATCATGATAAATCTGCACCACAGCATAGGGCTTTCCCTGACAACACAAAAGACAAGATGAGAAAGTGGATGGGGATTTAGCAGACACATCCAGGAAGCTAGGGCTGGATATGATCAAGATGTATTGTATACATGTCTGGAAGTGTGAAAGAATAAAATAAGAGTCCCAGGAGGTCCCTACAGGCCACCCCTCTCCCACTACTGGACCCAGTGAACACAAAGGCTTAAATATTCCCCCACCACCACCCCACCCTCCCAACCCCCAGAAAAAGAAACAAGAGGCCAGCAAGATGGCTCAGCAAGTAAAGGGACTGAGCACCAAGCCTGATGACCTGAGTTTGACCCTTGGGTCTCAACATAGTGGAAAGAAAGGACTGACTCCCACAAGTTGTCCTTTGACCTCCACAGTTCACTGTGGCACCTACACACACACACACACACACACACACACACACACACACCTCAATTTAAACAAACAAAAAACCTTGGAGCAGGAAGGAAGTTCTACGCTTATAAACCCAGCCTCAAGAAGTAGAGGGAGAACCAGAAATTCAAAGCCAGCCTGGGCTACAAGTTAAGACCCTGTCACTATAAACAAAAACAAACACCACAAATCCCATCTAGTAAGTGTCCATTTATGTCTATTATGCCTTTAAGGCCTCAGAATACCATGGTATCTTTTAGTTGGAAGTTTCCAGCTTTCTGTAAATAGGGCTTGAGTTTTAGAAGTGAGACTATGTAAGAACTCTTCATCGATTCAACAGCAGACCCTCTGAACTACTCTGAAAAGAAATCTATGCTTATGTAATTTCTCTTTACACTTATTAAATTTCTCACAGTTCTTTTGTTTGTCTGTTTGTTTCTGAGACAGGTCTTGCTATGGTAGCTCAGGTTGGCTTCCAACTGCCTCAGCCTCCCATGTGTGGGCCTATAGGCACACATCACTTTAGCCAGTTCAAACTGTTAGCTTACAAAACTCATACAAATCCCTATTTCATCTGCTCCTTAAAGCAATCCCAATCCTCTGAAGTGCTTTGCTGTTATGGATACATGCATTTTGTTGTTTTTTTGAGTCAGGGTTTCACTATGTAAACCAGGCTGTCCCAGAACTCAGATATTCACCTGCTTCTGCCTCCCCTGTGCTAGGATTGGAAGACATGTGCCATTATGCTCAGCACAGATATTATGAAAACTTCCATTTTGCAGGTATGAAAACAAAGGGGACTGCCTAACACACAAGCAGGAGTCAAGCCTTCGATGGATACTACAAGCTTCCAAAAAACAGGTCTTCCCTCTAGCCCAGTTGAGTTCACTACAATGCGTACGGTGATGAAGGTGAAACGGCTTTGTTCAGAAAAGGAGGCCATGATAGGATCCATCTGTGATGAGTGGATCATGGTTTTTCTAAAGATGAACATGCTTGACTCTTTTACCATGTAAAACCCATGTTCTGGTATTCATGTTTGGCAGAGACCTGACCCACCAGCCTGAACAGAATGTTCACAGCCTTGCTCTAATACATTGCCTACAAAGCTGTGTTACAGGACTATGTAAAACCCAAGTTTAGACCAACCTTCCCTGAGTAATCCTGAGGATGGATTAAATATGCTCTATGCCTCTCTTCCTTCATGATGTGGCTAGTGTGTTTAGATGAAGCTGCTCTATGTTTCTCCCCCTTCTCCATGGAGAAATGTCACCCAAGAGTGTAAACTAATCAAACTAAATCCTTCTATAGGAATTAAGCTTGGTGGTATGGGCAGATTAAGCTATTAGGTGTAACTGCATCAGACCCTTGGCAAGAGTTGTGTGTGCAGTCAGGTCAATAGAATCATTTGAGCTTTGGGGTTGGGGAGAGACTTTAGGAATCTGGTAGCCACTTCTAGTTAGAACTGCCCTCCACTTTCATTAATATGAGCATTTTATAATAGCCACGTAAACTAGGTCAACTAGTGTGGAAATTTTCCTTTTGCTTCAAAAGAGGAGATAAAATGGATTGCACAGCACACAGTACATTCCTGACTCTCAGATCCATGCTGGGCAGAGCAAGCTCTCTGAGTTTTCCAACCTGTTGCCCAAGTTGGCAACTGTGCTCACTGGAAGTCTCCAAACAGCCCCTTGTCTGCAGTCATGAAGGGGAAAAGAGAGCCTGCTGGGGATACAAGGTTCAAAGGTCTGTAACCTGCCACAAGCAAGAGCAGCAAGATCTCTAACCCCTTTGGGCAAAAATTAGGATGCAACAGAGAAAGCCAAGCATGAGTTTGTGGGTGAAACCACAAGGTCTCATCAAGAGATCAAAAGATAC